TGTATGAGTGTATTGCCTGCATGTATGTAAGTGCACCCATGTTGTGCAGTGCTGCGGAGGTCAGAAGAGGGCTTTGGATTCTCCTGGAACTGGAGTTAAGGATGATTCATAGCTGCCATGTGTGTGCTGGGAATCGAACCCAGGTCCTCTGTAAGAACAGTCAGTCATATTTTATATCTTATTTTTATTTTATGTGTATGAGTGTATTGCCTGCATGTATGTAAGTGCACCCATGTTGTGCAGTGCTGCGGAGGTCAGAAGAGGGCTTTGGATTCTCCTGGAACTGGAGTTAAGGATGATTCATAGCTGCCATGTGTGTGCTGGGAATCGAACCCAGGTCCTCTGTAAGAACAGTCAGTGCTCTTAACCACTGAGCAATCTCTTCAGCCTGGGTCTTCTTTCTTTACTTTGTTTTTTCCCTCCTCATGAGATGTTTTCAGGGCAGCATGAGTCTCCACATTGGGGGCTTTTCCTCTATGTTTTTGTAGGTTTGGAGATGAGGTGAGTCTGTATTTTTAGGGGTAGGAAAAGCCAGAGCCCGACTTGTATTTCATTAGCAAACAAGGGAAGGCATGCTTTCAAAGGATGCATTTATATAGTAGTTTTCTATCAAGCAGATAATGTGAAAAGTCAGGAAACAAAAGGGGAGGGACTTTGGAGTTCCAACACTTCTCTTCTGACTGCTAGTCAGGCCAGGATGGATGTAGACATGTCTATGGGATGTCTTCCAGATGACAATGGGAGTAATGATAATGGTAGTGGTGAGGATGATGGTGATAATGGTATATGCCTTTTCCATCTCCATGATAATAAGCTCAGGCCACAGATTGTGTGTTTAAAGTTATGGAAGAGAATGCATTGTTGAGATGGTAGAGGTGGGTAGGTGCAGCCTATCTTTGGCTAACCTACCTTAGGTCTAATTAAGAGCATGGTTTAACTGTAGTCAGGGCTTAGTTAAGGCAGAAGATGGTATGTCTTTAAAAAAGTGCTTGTCAGGGCCAGCAAGATGACTCAGTAGGTAAAGTGCTTGCTGTGCAAACCTGACAAGCTGAGTTCAATCTCCAGAGCCCACATGAAGGTAGGAGAGAACCGACTCTCTAGGTTGTTTAGACCTCTGCATGCACAGCCCATCTCCCTCTCCCCCTCTGTGTCTTTTGCTCCCTCTCTTTTTCTCTCTCACACACAATAATAATTATAAAACGTGCAGTCCTTTATCATATGTAGCAGTTGTGAAAAATTTGAAGAACAACTCATCCACCAAATGTTCTGGGCTACTTATCTTCTTTATATTTATGATACACGTTTATTCACTTCATTCATAGAATGAAATCTCCACGAGAAGATGAACTTTGCCTGAGTTGGTCAGCATCGAGTGCTGAGCTAACTGTGCCTAACTTATAGTAAGTACTCAGTAATTATTACTTAAAAGGGTGAATGAATAGCTGAATGAATAAAGAGCTTCAACTCAGCATCATTGTTTGTAAGCTGTGGTTCATTTGATTTAATTCTAATGTCACTATGGAGGGTGCTTGCTTCCCCATAATGATACTGAAAGTTATACCATGAGAGATGTGGGATTCCTCTCACCGTGGGAGGATCTGCACTAATTTCCCACTCTCATACTTTCACGTGGGTTAGTTCGCAATCCTCTCACTTCCCTCCAAATGAGGGGAGAGGGCTTGCAGAAGACTCATCTCCCCCCTTGCATGAGGGCACCCTCAGGAACCTCATGTATCTCTGGGGATAGATGGCACTTATGAGAGTGATGACCTAGAAATGTGAGGCAGTGTGAGAGTCCATCTCTGCTAAAGCTCCTATTCTTCATTAGTAATAACATGAGAGGGATTCTAGCTCCAGCTCTATATATTGCTCATCTTATTGATGCTCATCAAATTGAATTCATGACATATAGCACATCAGACTCCAATTTGATATCACAAGTGAATATGTAGATTGGAGCCAGATAGGGCTCATAGCCTAAATTCATCATTTACTAGTGATATGACCTTGGACAATTGAATTGACTTTTCTGAGCCCCAGTTTCCTTGTGTTTGAAAGGGGGGCTTAATATGTACCCTTCAGGATTTGGGGGCAGGAATAAAATAAATATCAATTTTTAAATAGTAGCCTATGCCATCCATCAGTCATTCAGTTCATAGTTGTTTTAAATTGTTGGCTCATACTTTCTTTTAAAGTGTTTTTATCTCATTTTTCATTGAAAGATAATCATTGAACCTATTTCTGGGGTACCATGTGACATGTCAGGACTTGTATACAATGTGTAATGTCCCAACTAGGGTGCTTAGCATACCCACTAAGCATTCCTAGTTCTTTGTAGTGAGGATCAATGTCCTCTCTTCTAGTTAATTTGAAATGTTCAGTGCAGCCTTGTTCACTGTAGTCACTTTTCTGTGCAACAGATACCAGAAGTTACAATGTTGATTTTTGCTGCTAGCTTTCTTCTTCCATGTGCTGAGACAGTGTTCCTAGGGCACATCTGCCTGACCTTGCACCTCAAAGGATTTACGTATGTGGGGGAATGTAATGATCACCTTACAAAACTCAGAATCTGATAGGTGGGTCTCGTACCACTCTTCAGTGGGAGATGGCAAGTGAGGTCTATTTCTAAGACTGAATCAAATACAAGGTAAATGCAAAGACCATGACAGGCCACATGACACATGGTTCTGAATTTGACAGGCTCCTGCCTGATTGTGCTCCAATCTGGGGGACCCTACTGGGAGCCAATGATAGTTGGGAGGTGAAGCCTCTAGGCATTTGAGAACCCTGGAATCAAGTATTATGTAATCACATAGCATCCTCTTTCAGGGACCCTGTCTTGTCTTGTTCTCCAGCTCTTACCAATGGTCTGAAGTTTCTTCTGCATCTCCTTTCACCACAGCGATCTGATGTCTCATCTTTGCTAAATCCTTTTGCAAATTTGAGACGAGTGAAAAAGCGTGGAACTTCTGGATACCCCTTTCTTCTTGACGCCTATGAAGTTGTATGAAAAAGAGGGAGAAGCATCTGAGATGCAGATCCTCTTCCTCTAACCACCCTACCTGCTCTTTGAGATCTCCATTAACCACCCTTTCCTCCATGGGGGCCTTGTTAGTGTATAAATTATGATTCGGCTCTTGCTGCAAGAGGATGTAGCTCTCCCCAAGGTCCTGAAATGCTGCTTCTTGTAAAACTGGCTTCCTTTTATTACCCCCTCCTTAGTCTCTTCCTACTTCTCTACACACAGATTTTTCACCTGCAAAGTAGAGGACAGTCATGATTCCTGCCTCTCAGAGGTGATGATTAAGTTATGTGTACAATGTGCTGACTTTATTGCTCGGCACACTGCAGGTGTTTAACTTGGGTTGTTTCATCTCTCCCTGACTTATCATTTTGCACAAATTCTCCAAGGAAAGTTTATAGTCTAAATATGTTCATGTCAATGCCCCATACACAATGACCAATGTTTTTTTTATTTTACTCAGAACAGACAACTTTGGGCAAGCTGTCCTTCAAGGTTCCAGATGATTCAGTTTTTATGTTTTCTAACTTCATCACTGTGCCCAGAATTTATGCTTTTGCTCAAAACCATAGTCTCTAAGATAAAGTTTGACCTCCACTGGTGGTTCATGAAGCCCTTTATGATCTTGCCTCTCTCTAGCTCTCTAATCACCTTGTAAGCATCCTGAGAGCCAGCTACAACTGACAACTGGCAGTTCCCTTTCTGGTCTCGGGGATTTTTCTTTTTCTTGGAGTTCTCTCACCTCTTAATTTCCCAGCAGGATTGTTGGGAGTTTGAATTCTACCTTTACTGCGTGGTCACTTACAGCACCTTTGATAAGAGACTCCACTGAGTACACACTCATCTTCTATAAAGTGGGTCTAATACTGCTCCTTACCCCCATGGGACTGTTGTGAAGAGTAAATGATTCATAAACATGAAGCTCTTATACACAATGGTGGCACACGGTTCTCTGGAGCACACTGCTCAATTTGGTACCCTGGAAATAGCAACTATTTTCATTAACCTGAAAATTTTTCTTCCAAAAAGATGTGCAGATGAATTTCCCAGTCCAAGAAGGGCACCAGCTATCTGTATTCCCTTAGGCCCTGCTTACTCCCTCTGCCCACTGGTGTCCCTCATTGACTTGTGTGGTAGATCCTATGTACCTGTCTGACTCCCAAGACTGGGGTTTCCAAACAGGAAGGGTTAAGGATTCCAAACCCCTGTGCTCTAAGAAGTAGAGTATAAAGGATGACCTGGCATTCCTGATGGGATTCATGAGATCCCTGGAGTGCCCAGTCACTTCAATCAGAGGGTGAGCTGTATGTAAAAGGGAGAAGAGCAGCAGTTGGCTTTCCAGAAAAAAGACACAAGATCCTAGTGGCCTCTGGTGATCTTAACATTGGGCTCCACTTGTGCCATTATGACCATGTGTGATGTATTCACTACACTTCTCACACTCATTCAAATTCCTTCCTGCCTTGACAGTTTGAATACATGTTCCCAGCCACCTGGAATGCCATTCTTCTATCAAACTCCTAATTCCTCTTCACCCTTCAGGGTCATCCCAAAGCTCTCTCCTTAGAGAGAACTTCCTGGATTGCTAAACCATTAGGTTCACATATGTATGTGCTCTTACTTCATGAGGATTTCCATCTTGTCTTGTAGACAGAAGCCAGCCTCCTGGGCGATGCTGTAAAACTTGGCTCTCATGGTACTGCACAACCCACTCTTACAGAGGGTGATGTCCTGGTTAGTGCAGCTGTAGACAGAGATGAGAAAGGCTTAGGGGATGGGTCCTGATGGATACCCTTAGTAGCCTCATGGTCACCACTGGCCTCCCTGAGCCTAAGATGCCCTGAAGTAGGGACTGCTTGTGCCCAACTGGTCTTCTGCTTTCACTTGGAACCTCTCTCAAAATCCCCTCTGGAAGTTGGAAGGAAAGATCTTCCTAACAATATCAGGCTCATGTCTCAGGTCTTATTAATGAGTCTGCAGTAAGACAGCTTCCTCTTGGGGCCCAGTAAATATTAAAGACAGTGAGATGGAAATGGGAGCTGGATATTTGGTTTCAGCTTCAGCTTCATCCCTTCCTAGCTGTATGACCTTGGGCAAGACATTCCATGTAGCCAATCTCAGTCTGTTCCTCTGTAAAATGAGGTAACTCTCCTGCCTTGAAGGATTGGTCTTGAAGAATAAGCAAGGTGGTGAACACAGAACACAGCTCCTATTGCCTAGCACAATGGAGGGATTTCATGCCATTTTCTACAGTGCTGCTCAGCATCTTGTCTGTGAGACCTTTGACCTGAAGGATACCTTGTCCCTCTTCATTGCCTATAGCTTTGGGGAGTCTGGTCTGCATTGGGCCTTTCCCGCCCTTGGGAGACAGGATGTAGTCATCATAGTGAGGTTGGCCTCTTGCCCATTTCTTTCACTACTTACCCTTTAGACTTCTTCTGGATCACTTGGATGTGACTCTCTACACTTGCAGTGCTGGATCTCTCACTGAAACACCAAGGGACAGTTTTGAATTGCCTCTCATTCCAGGTGCTTCTAAGGCTACATGGCATGTGCAACACGCCAAGATTCAAGTATGGGAGGTGACTTTACTGGACACCAGAGCTCAAGGTACTTTATGTCAAGCCTTTTGGCCTTTGCTCCTGCCATGCTAACTGCCAAGGGTGCCCTCCTCATTTCTCTCTCACTGACTAAAATCTTATATGGTCCGTAGCAAGCTCTGCATGCCAAGACTCTCAACTTTGACTGTCTGTCTCTGCAGTTTTGGAATCACATGCTTTCCAGATCTCAGCTTCCTTTGTATTTACTACATTTGGTCTCTTCTTCTAGAGGATGGGTTTGTTTTGGACCTGATCCTTCTCCTCTCTGTACCCACCACTTAACATGGGCTAAGTGCACGTGTGGTAAAGGTCTGGCTGAGTCTGCCTCACCATGTTGTCTTTGGTGTTCCTGAACTTGGGCTATCTCTCAACTCGAAAAGGTGCTTTTCTAAGCTAGCCTTTTAAGTTGAACACCCATGTTACTCTGTTTGGAGGCAGATAGAACTAGACTCAGAGTCAAACCCAGTTGTCAATCACTTCTTCTGTGAGCTATCAACTCCTCACATTCTCTGACTCTTTCTAGATAATTAGATCCATCCAGTGCCATCCTATGACTCTGACTGGGACATCTTCCTAGAGCAGAATGATCAGCTTGGTCAGATCCCTACTGCCTTTCTCCCAGGACCACCTTAGTGACCTGGGCCTTGAGTGTCATTTTTTGTTGTATGTGTATATATATATATTTGAGTGTATTTGTGTATGTGTTCATGTATGCAGATGTGTATGCACGTGGAGCTAGAGGTTTTTGTGATGTGTCTTCCTCAATTGTTTCCCACCTTATTGTTCGAGACAGGGTATCTCACTGAATCTGAAGCTCATTGGTTGGCTAGATTGCTTGGCCAGTGAGCTCCAGGGATCTCTCTGTCTCTATATGCCCAACACATGCAGTGTGAGTGTGTGTGTGTGTGTGTGTGTGTGTGTGTGTGTATGTGTGTGTGTGTGTGTGTGTGTGTGTGTAATCCATGTATGTTGGATTTCATGGTCTCAAGCTTACAAGACAAGCACTTTTAGTAACTGAGCCATTTACTCAGCCATAAGTACATTTTTTGAATCAAGATCTCACTATGGACCCCTGGCTGCCCTGGAATTCTCTATGTAGACCAGACTGGCTTTGAATCGTAGAGATCCACCTGCCTCTGCCTCCTGACTGCTGGGATTAGAGGTTTGTATCACCATACCCTGCACACAGAGCGTATGTTTTAGAGCATCTGTCTACCTCCTTGTCTCCCACTATTTCTTCCAATGGATTGAAAACTGACTCACTTTATCCATGAGGTCCCAGAGGAAGGCTGTCTTACCACTCTTATGATAGGAAGGGCTTACCCTTCCTTTCTTGCCTTGTGGTATTTGGGACTTTTGGAAGATGGACCTGACCATCTCTCAGAGCCCTTCCTACAGGAAAGATATTGGCTTTTGCTGCTTTTTCCAGAAGCTTATGGTATTGGACCTAGAAGTTTTAGGCCTTATTGGTGATGGGAAAAGTGTTACTCTACTTGGATAGGATGTAGAGGCACAGTAAAAATATTCAGAAGATCTTGTTTTATTATTGCAACTAGCTTCCATGACCAGCAGATGACCATGCTGGTCCAAACTTCTTCCTATGGGTAGTTCTCTCCTACAGTTTTGATTCTGTCTCAGAGAGGAGGTGGAAGGTGAGGAACATGGTGTCATTAGCTGGTGACTTAACTATGAAGACCCCTTGACCTTACCCAGTCATCCCTTCCCTGGTCCTCATTGAGGTGTTTGCTCAGTGACTCTAAGCATCCTCTGGCCTCAAACCATTTGCATGTGCTGTCCCCTCTGGTGGACACCATGCCCACTTTCCCTACCTGACGGATAGGGTGATTATTCTTTGTTCTTCAGGCCTTAAATATTAAACATTCTCCTCTCCTTCCATACTTTTCTTTCAGAATTCTTTTTATAGTCATGATTTTATGGCCAACTCTTGGGTTATTCAAGGATTGTTCAGCCCCTAATTACATTAGCAGTTCTTAAGAATGGGAGGAATTCAAGGGGTTCACGGGGCAGATGGAGGAAAAAACCTTTGTCTTTATTTTAAGTAGCTTTAACTGAAGTGGAGATCACAGGTATTTGCATATCATATGATGACTGTGGGACGCATTCTGCAGAATCATTTGCTTTCAATGCTCATCCAAAATTACAGTGGATATTGGACCTGCTGCTAAGTTGGACTCTCTGATGCACCGCTAAAGGCTGAAGGAGCTCAGAGAAGACCATGCTCTAAATTGGGCTGCAATACAGTAATCTAATGCTACCATAGATATTTTTTAATCCTTTGTAATTTATAATATGCATTTAAAATATTCTTCTGAAAGGAATTCATGGACTTCTTCAAACTGTCTAAGGGCCCATGCATGGCACAGAAAGTTCCAGGGAGATATATGAGAGCAAATGTATTTATTTGCCAAAGCTTCAAAACCTAGTGTGGTTCCTGGCTCATACAGTGGACCACAGAGTAGTCTGTAAATGAAGAGTTGAATCAGGTCCAGAACTCCGTGTGTCCTATTAGAGAGTATCCAGTTTAAGGGAGGGAGTGCAATTTACTTAGCATAAGGTTCTCCAGGTTGGTGTGTGTGTGTGTGCCCCATAGCATCATGCTATAGACCTCAGATGTACAGAATGGAATTTAATTTTACAAGAGAAGGGAGGGACAGGAGTAGTCTGATGTCCTGCTCTTCCAACTGTACCTCTTCTCTGCTGGAAGATTTTAGCATAAAGCATGGAATGTAAATGTTGGGGAGAACTTTCTGGATACTCACCAGCCTGGGAGTGAGGTGGCTTGTTTCCAGTGCGGCAACAAGCAAGGAAAAAGTGCTCCTCCCCAGTCCCCTCCCATGGCTTGGGGAGGGGACTCTGTGTCATAGCCCTGGGTCAGGGCTGCGGCCTACTTGTTGCAGGCTTCAGATCTTCCTACCTGGACTTATGGGTGGTCTGCCACTCCTTGGAGGCAGAATCACTCTTGGTTTTCCTGATCATAGACATGATGCTGCAAAGAAAGAGGAGTCTTTTAACGGGGCATACAAGATGCTCCTGCAGCAGGCATCCATGCCAGGACAGGATACCTCTTTCTAGAGTAGTGTCCGCAGAGCCGTAGTGGAGGAAGTAGCGTCCACAGAGCCATAGTGGAGGAAGTGCTGGGGAGTTTGCTAAGAACACAGATCCTGGGTCACACTTCCAGAGATTTGAATATGCTGGGCCTGGTGTGTATATGTGTGTGTGTGTGTGTGTGTGTGTGTGTGTGTGTAGAGGAGAAGCTGCATTTAATCTCCCACTTCCCTAGAGTCATACACAGACAAATTCCAGGATTACTCCACACCCTAGAATTATACAAATCCAGAATCACATATGTAGAATTCTATCTTACCCAGAATAATGCATAGACATATAGAAACACACACACACACACACACACACACACACACACACACACACACACACACACCTAGACATCAACAACACACAATTACCTAGAATTCCATTATACCTAGAACCCCCTACACACTTAGAATTCTAAATACACCTGAAATTCCACACACACCTAGATTTCCACACATACCTGGAATTCTACACACACACACCTAGAATTCTATACTCACCTAGAAGTCCACACATATGTAAAGTTCTACATGGTCCTAGAATTACCCACATACATCAAATTACACACAGAAACTAGAATACCACCCTCTCATACACACCTCCTGGAACTTTATACACATCTCACCCTGTAGAGGTTGCCCAGAATTCTGAGACAATATCCACTTGGTACTTACTAGAAACTACCACTGCTTACAGCTGCTGTTAGAGTCTCCTCAGTAGGTCTGGGATGAGGTCTCAACATCCATGTCTTTATGAGAATCCCACTCCTGATATTCAGGGTCATTTGGGAAACCCCACTATATTTCAAAAAGAAGCCATCTTCATACATCATTGGGGCTGAGGGCTGGATGAGTCTGGCTTTTAGAGGTTCCCAGGAACTCCTGGCCTCAGGGTCTGCTGACCTCAGTGAGAGCAGACTTGGTGTGTGAAGTAAGGGAAATTGTGGCTTTTCCTGTCCCCCCTGCAACTCTTACCAAAGCTTCAGTATCTGCTGCCTTACTGAGACATTGGGGAGATTTTATTTTTCCTGGAAGGAATTAATGAGGAAGGGAAGTTTTAACAGGTTGCTCTGTAATTATAGTTATCACCACATTGACTTTGGAGGTCATGTGATGGGTCTCCTCAGAGCCTGGCCCTTTGTAAATCTTATTGGAGTCATCCTGGATGTTCTCCATCAATGAGATGGGCCGATGTGACAGCTGATGCACCTGTCTCAGCAAGGTGCTGTAAGGATTTGTGGGCTGCTATATTTGGAATAATAGGGAACAAAAACATTGCTTACCCGCCCCCCAATTGCATTTATCGGTTGCTTACTACATGTCGGGTGTAAACTAGTATGTTATGGCATTAACTCATTACATGGTTTTAATGACTCATTGAAATAGACATAATTTCCATAGTATTCATAGTACTTTACAAGAATAGTGTCACATAATTCTCCCTACAGTCCTCTTGAATGGGTTGCTAAAGGGCTTCATTTTATAAATTGGAACCAGACTCAGAGAGGTGAAGCAACTTGCCCCATATCTCATGGCAATTGAATGATGTGATGGATATCCTCCTTAGTCTATTTGGTTCCAAAGTCAAAGCCTTGATGATACACAGTCTCAATTTACAAATGAGGTCATGGAAGTTAGAGAAGGCCTGAGAGACTTGCCCAAGAGCATCAGACTTTGGATCCACTTCAGCTTGATTCAGAAACCAAAGCTCAGGCAGGTAAGCTCTTACAAAGCAAGGCGTCTCTTTGAGCCAACATTCATCACTTTTGTCTGCCCCTAATGCTGACAACCAAGTGCCTTATGGGTCAACATTCTCTCCGAGTGCCTCCAAGTGCCACCTTTGAAACCTGATGTGAATTGAGGCTGCAGCAGACAAATTCATCATTAACAGGCAGAGGCAGGGCATGATGCATTCGAAAACATTGGCTGAACTGTAATTATGGCAAATAACAATAACCAATAAGTCATAGCTGGTGTCCCAGTAGGCTGAGGGTGATGATGAACATCTTCTCTTGCCTCATTTATTTTCTGGAAATAATTTGCTTGCTCAGAGGGATTCATAGTTGAGAATGGAAGTTTAGCCTGTATTCTCTCTGAAGCTTTTAGAGGTCAGAAGTCCACAGACAAGACTTTCCACCTGAAGTCTGATATCTCAAGTTCAAGTTCAGCATGACCTCCCTATGAGCCACCCAGTTGCACTGGCTACTGGCTTGGTGCTTCCAAGGATGCCTATGCTTTTAGGGTAAGAACCCAGACCCTCAGGGTAGCAATTTCTGAGATGAGATCCCTATATACAGCATACCCTTTTTTCATCCCACTTTGGCTATGTTCCAGTTCCCTGATGGTGCCATGGTCCCTTCTGACCACTTACGCATGTGGCTTTTGCAGATTCTTTCCCCACCTCTCTGTGCCCACCTCTTTTGCAGGTGGATCTTTTTTCCTACTTCATCCAAATCAGCTTAAAGCTTCTCCCAAAGAAAGAAGAAACGGAGTCTCCTGACCATCCCAGACTAGATCAATATCCTCTCAGACCTATTTTTTTTGAGATAGGATCTTGCTATGTAACCCAGGCTGGCCTCAAACTCAAAATCTTCCTGTCTCAGCCTCCTGAATAATGAGATTACAGGCATTCGCAACCATGCCTAGCTTATTTTTATATTTCTCTGCCTTTTTTTCACTTCAGGGGATTGATTCTAAAGCTTTGCACATGCTAGTCAAGCTCTCTACTGCTGAGCTATGCCTATAATTCAAACCCTCTATTTTTGAATCTTCTTTTGCAATTTTATATCTGTATTCAATGTCTCTTTACCATATCCATCCCAATCCTTCCTCCTGCTTCCCCTCAACATTCCCTAAAGTGCCCCCTTTCCCTTCCTTCCTTCCTTCCTTCCTTCCTTCCTTCCTTCCTTCCTTCCTTCCTGCCTTCCTGCCTTCCTGCCTTCCTGCCTTCCTGCCTTCCTGCCTTCCTGCCTTCCTGCCTCCCTGCCTCCCTGCCTCCCTCCCTCCCTCCCTTCCTTCCTTCCTCCCTGCCTCCCTGCCTTCCTCCCTTCCTTTCTTTCTGTAACTTCCTGAGTTCAATTAGTACTGCCTATTAGAATATTGACTAATCTGGCTGTCTTGATCTTGTGTAGGTATCTGTATTGCCATGAGTTCATCAGAGCAAAAGCCACCATCATGTCCAGAAGACAGTATTTTGTGGCATTCCTCTGCATCCTTGGACTCTTACCCTCTTTCTGCCCCTTCTTTCATGTTGTTCCCTGAGGTAGCTGATACAGACGTCCCATTTAGGGCTGAACACTCAACAGTCACTTATTCTCAGCACTTTGACCATTTGTGAGTCTCTGTATTAACTACTGCCCACTGCAGGAGAAGCTTCCCTGCCAAAGTTGGGAGAAGCATTAATTTATACAAACCCCTATTTTTTGATCTCATATTTCCAAGTTCTTCTTTCAGAGAAGAGTCTATCCATATTCACAAGCAACTCCTGAGAAGGGTGAATGACAAAGGCCTTCTGATAGGCAGTGCAGCAGAGTGGCGAAGAGGATGCTTTTGGAAGTTAGGGACATCTGGATTTAAGTAATGTGAGTCACATTACCACTCACAAGTGGTGAGACCACAAGTCACTTAGCCTTTCTGACCTTTGCTTTCCTGTTTGTAAACTAAAGGTAGTAACTCTTACCTTGGAGGGTTGTTATAAAACCCAAGGTGGTGATACATGTGTACAAAGTATACAGCTCAAGGTTTGGCACAAAGTGCTCAGTAATTGGTAATTTCTCTTGTGAATGTGGTCACTATTAGACTGACATCCCTTAGCTGTCCAAGGAGTTAAGATAGCATACCTGGGAGCTTTCTTCTGCATCTCAGTTTCCACTGTGATTGTTCTTTGGGCATCTTCTCTAACCATCTCCAGGAGCTTCTTCAGATCTGAAGGGAACAGGAGAAGTTATCCTGGACCTCAAGACATGGTGCATGGATTTCCTGTCTGGCCTGAGGCTGCCTCTGCTTCTGAGAATCAGAGGGCTGCAGAGGAATCCCACTAGGCTCCAGAAGCGGGGATATGGGGCTCATAGGGTCTGGCAGGTTCTATATCTGACCATGTCGCTCTTTGCCTTAACACTCACCCATGAGTGTTCATTTTTCTCCTGAAAACATGATTTCACATGAACAATTAGACATTGAAAGACCTTTTAAGATTTATTTAGCTTAATTCATGTGTGTGGTGCACGTTTGAGTATGTGCACATACGTGTGTGTATACATGGTCATGTTTGTGCATGAATGTGTGTGTGTGAGTGTACATGCTCACGTGTGTTCATACATGTGGTGACCAGAGGCCAATACTGCCTGTCTTCTTTCATTGTTCTTGACCTTATTTTTTTCAGACAAGAGTCTCTTACTGAACCTGGAGCTCACTGATTGGCTAGATTTGCTAGCTAGGAAACCTCAAGGATCCTCCAGTCTCTGCCTCCTGGGCACTGGGATTACTGGCAGATGCCATTACCTGGCTTTTTATGTGGATGAGGAGATTGAACTGAGACCCTCATGTTTGCTTGGAAAGCACTTTACTGACTGAACCACCTCTCCAGCCCCTACGGAAGGATCTTTAAAATTCTATTACAACTGAAAACAAACAAAAAACAACCAAAAAAACTGTTTCAGATTCTGGAAAGAAATCTTCAGAAAATAATTTCTGATTAATTCTTTCCAAACTGGTGATTTGCAGACTAAATCCAGCTCACAAATATATTTCAACCCTTGGAAACTAGGTTTTGTGTAAAAATTCTGACCTCTATTTTCCTTGGACTGAATCTGAGACATAGCTATGTTGCCCTCATTCCAACCCCATGCTGAGTACAGTTTTTGCACAGTTACCTGTCCTCCAGACTGCCCCGCCCACCATGGCACCCACCTCTTCTTATTGTATTAGCTGAGTCTTGTATATTTGGAACTGAAATACCCTCCATGTGGGGAGGGCTTGGTCTTCAGCTAGTGGTGCTACTGAGAAGGGATTGAACCAAGTGGGCACTAACCCCATCAGTATGTTAATGAATTCATTCTGAATGGGATATTAGATGGGGAAGGTTGGTGGGAGCATGTCTCATGAAGGATTCTTCTTTTCTACTCACTCTGCTTCCTGCCACTGTATGGCAAACACCACTGTGTTTCCATAGCCTCCCTACCCATGATGCTCTTCCTCACCAGGACCCGCAAACAATGGTGCCATTGATCACTGTGAGCCAAGACAACTCCTCCTTCCTTAGGAAATTTTCTCAGGCATCTTACTATTGATTAAAAGTGATGAACACAACTTTCATTTTCATACTTAATGCGTTATTTTCCATGCAGTGCACAAGTGTTTCTTCAGACCTGATCCTTATGAATCCTGTCTCCCAAAAGATAGGTTGGATTCCTACTGTCCAATATTTCAGAGTATGATCATTTTTGGAAACAGACACTATAGATGTGATAAGTTAAGATGAGGTCATACTGGAGTGTGGTGGCCTCTGAATAGAGTTTGACTGGTTCTAGGAATAAGAGGGGCAGGAGGCATGATAGAGCATGGCCATGTGGTGACAGAAGCAGAGACTGAAGTGATGCATCTGCGAGCTAAGGGATGCCAAGCCTTCCCAGCAATACTAGAAGCTAGCTCAGAATGAAATCATCATTAGATTAACTAACCCTCATGATTCCATTCCTTCTCAATAGCACCACTAGCTGAGATCAAGCCTTGATTTTGAAGTCTGAGCACTGACAATAAATTCCTGTGGTGCTAAGCCACCCAGGCTGGCACTTCGTTACAGTAACCCTAAGAAGCTAATACATAGACACTTTCAAAAGCTGAAAAATGAAATATGGAGTGACCTACATGTTTCACAAAAGATGGAGGTAGAAGTCAGCATCCAGGTCACATATTTGCATGTCTCTAGCCCCTTGCTCATTTCCACTCCCAGCAGGGACCCTGATGAGTTTCAAACCACCAGGGACTTCATTTTCCTGAAGGGCACAACTGTCCAAGGTGCTGAAGCATCTTGGTGTGAGGTTGTTGCTTGGCGACTGTCCAGAATTTCTCTCCAGATTTATGACCAGAGAGAGGAGACTGGCATGAGTGGAGGAGAAAATGCACCAACGTGTGTGTGTGTGTGCACACACACAATGCAGAGGAAGAGAGAGAGGAGAGAGGAGAGAGGAGAGAGGAGAGAGAGAGAGAGAGAGAGAGAGAGAGAGAGAGAGAGAGAGAGAGAGAGAGATGTGAGATGTGCCAGAAAACAAGAAGGAAATTACAATGGGTAATTAATGGAATTTGAGCAGCTTAAGGGAGAGTCTTTTCACTTTAAATATTGTTATTCTTTGAAAATTTCATACATTGTATTTTGATCATATTCAGACCACCTCCCCATCTACAATCCACTCTAATACCTCGACTTTTATGTCCTCTATTATTCTTCTTCTTTAAAATTTCTTTAATGTCTATGGACTCTTATGTTCCCCAAATGGTCTTGGGTGTGTGTCCATGAAGGGAGACTCTTAAGCATGTATTATTAGTAGGACAAGTTTGTCTTTGAGCAAACATACTACATGACTGGTTCCATTGAGTGAATGGAATTTATCTTTTGGGACAAGGTCTCATGCATTCCAGGCTAGTTTCAAACTCATCATATAGCCAGTGATGACCCTGAACTTCTGATCCTCCTGTCTCCACCTCATGTACCACCACACCAGATTATAAAGTACTGGGGCTTGAACCCAGGGCTTCATGCATGCTAGGCGAGCACCCTACCAACTAACTGGGCTGTGTTGCTAGCCCCTTGATTTTCATTTTCTATATTCATGGAGGATATGAGTAGTGTTGAGCAGTCTCAGAACAGATAGTGAGGCCACTGTTGATTTCATGTATTTTTGAAAGACATCACATTTTCCTTCCTTTTCTGGGGGTGCCTTCATGTTTTGTGGTTCTGGGAATCAAACCCAGGTCTTCATGCATGCTAGGTAAGTGTTCTACCGCTGAACCACACTCCCAGGCCTTTCCTCACATCTCTGGGTTTCTGGAAGCATGTGCTGTATGCTATCTTCTATCTCCACCCACTGCATCTGGTAGGACACTGACCTGTGGACTCCCACAGCATACTGCTCTGGCCTTGCACTGATTCCCTGGGACAGTGCACTGCTCTGACCATGCATGCTGATTCCATGGGATGGTGATTGCCTTTTTGCTTGTGGGAATTCCTCTCTAGACCTCAAGTTCCTTGAGGCCCAAGTCACATTTCATTTATATTTCTACTGTTAGCACTGACAGTGTGTTTGGCACATGGGGCCCAAGTTTAGAGTTGCTAAACGGATAAGTGAACAGCTAGGATGAAAAGGAGGGTCTTATTTGGGAGACTGTGAGCTGCAGTTGGATATCAATCAAGGATGTCAACCCTAGTGTAGGCCATTTCAGTGTCCAGCCTTTTTATGAACACACTCATGGTTCTAGGGAGGAAAGAGTACCATTCCTTAGCCACGTGGAGCTCCCTAGGCTGTGCCAACTGTTGTTACTCAGCCGCAGTCTCCTCTGTTGCCAGTCTGTGGGCAGACTCCATTTCAACTGAATGGAACCTCGGTTTTCACCTTGTTATGTTCTCCTCAATCCCACTGCCACACATCCCAGAATCTTTGTGTGTCCAGAGGCATTTGAGTGAGGGAGTCATAGCTGGTCCCTCCACTTTCTTTTCTTCTCTTGGGAACCATGTAGCAGCATGATTCTACTTTCCTGTCCCTCACTCCCAAGCAGCCAGACTGAGAGTGCATGGATATGACAAATGACCCCAGTGACTGGCCCTTTGGGTCATCCTCTTGGGGAATCACAGGCAAAACTTCACATTCAGTACAGGGCAGATTTTTTCTGTGTGCCACATGGAATAGCTCTGAATCATAGGGATGGATCTCCATCCATCAGGTAGCGTGTGTGTGTTAACAAAGCCTTGGGGCTTCTTAAGGCTATACAGGAGAAAGGACTTGTCTGGAAAGGGTACAGATGCTACAGGGTAGAATTTCCTCAAGGAAGACGGTCCTGCAGTGGATGTCCACACAGAGGAGCCTATTCTGTTCCTGACAGGGTTGTGGGGCTGATGTGATTCATGGTTCAGACACAGTATCATCCCATTTCCTCAAATGCCCAGTCAAATCCACAGAGAGGAGAAACTCTGATTCTTCTTTTGTCTTCTGTCCCCAGTCTGTCTAAGAATCAAACCCTTGAATGACTAAGCTCATTTCTTCTTTTGGTGGGTGAAGTCTTTGAAATTTTAATTTAAATGTATGTGCATGTGTGTGTGTCTCTCGGCGTGTATATACATTTGTGTGCAGGTGCCCATGAAGGTCAGAGGAGCTAATCAAATCCCCTGGAGCCGGAGTCACAAGTGATTGTGAGCCACCCAACTCTAGTCCTCTGCAAGAGAAGCAAGGGCTCTTAACTGCTGAATCATCTTTTCCAATCCAGTCTTTTTGTTTCTTTTTGAGCAACTCACTAGATGGCATAGGACTCCCCTCCAGGTTCCATTCAAGCGACTTTCTCTCCACATAGTTTAAGCCTAGCAGGAGGAATAGATTGGGCTTTGGGTTCTTGGGAATTCCCGTCATTGATCTCGGGGGTAGGGATCATCAGTCCACAGAGGGGCCACAACCTGCTGTCTTCAGTGATCTGCAGTTACAAAGCATCATTATGCATCTGGTCCTGGAAATTAGACCTCGGGCAGCTAGTGCGTTGCTTGGAATAGGAATCAGGAATTCAGAATCAATTTGAGGAGGTTTTAAGAGGCAAAGAGAGGCTAGGAAATTAATTTGCCTTTGCCAAAGCTGTGACAAATTAGATGGAGGTTAAGACGGAGGAAGAAAAGTCTGGAAAGGCTGTAGAGAACGGGCTATTCCCCAAGAAGCAGATCTCTAGTGGAGACACATTGCATATCTGTATGTATCAGGCTGAAGGGTATTAGATAAGACATCCATACCTGCAAGAATCTCAAGCCCCCTTCCTCTTTATTGCTTGGTAAAGGAACTATGATTCTTTGTCTGGAAGGGGAAAATATATCAGCTCATTTCCCCAGAATTCTTTGCAATTTGGTATGGCCCTATGACTAAGTTCCACATGATGAAACTTTATTTTTTCTTTAAAAAATTTTTATTGAGCTTTTAAAAATTTCATACATTTCCCACTCAAATCCAGACCCCTTCCCCCATCCATGCCTCCCCCCATTAACCAAATAGAACCCTATGCACTCTGCCATACATGCAGAGTCCTATTCATTCAGGTGTTTGTACCCAAATGTCCTTCAGTGTAAATGTGTCCACTGGAGTCTAATCAGCCCATCCAGTGGTTGTACGTAAGTCATACTCTCCCTCACCCAGCAGCAACAGTCTCAAATAGTTCTCTATCTAGTGCTGGCCCGCCACCTATTTCTCACCTCCCCTTTGGGCGCTTGTTTAATTGAGCTGACATTATTTTATTTATTGTGTGTTTGTGTGTGGTGTGTTTGTGCATGCACACATACATAGGAAGGTCAGAGGACAACCCGTGGGAGTCAGTTCTCTCCTCCCATCATGTAGGTCCTGGGGACTGAACTCAGGTTATCAGACTTAGTAGCAAGCACCTTTACCTGCTAAGCCATCTTGCTGGCCTGATTTTGGAAGGATAGTGTGGAGCTTCTGAGAAGGTTGCTTAAACTCACTTGGGTGTGGGGACTTTTAAACTTTGTCTACTGCCTTCTGCTTCAAGCCTAGAGAGCAAGTTGTAATGTTTAGAGCTCGAGCAGCCATTTTGGACCGTGAAGTGATATTGAGGATGGAAGAGTAAAAAGACAGAGTGAAGCAGGATTTCTGATGATTTTTAAAAGTCATTTTACCAGCCCTTGCCTGGTTTAATTTATAAGAAAACACAAACTTCGAGTCATTGCTTTTCAGGCCTCCAAGTCAGCCAAAAGAAGTTCCTTCTTGATAGAGTGAGATGAAAATTGTAAGTTAAAATTAAGTCCCCAGTAAGACCCAATACAATCTACTAAGAGACTTGAAAATAGAGAACACAGAGGAAGGGAGCACGTGAGCTAGACCAAGAGTCTCCAAGAGACAGGGGACAAAGGAAATCATGTAAGAGTATGCTTTGATTGAATTGGGGAAAGAAAATTGGTCAAGTTGGACTGCCTTATTTAAGATGTGAACTAGCAATGCTGAGCCGACCATTGGCATCCTTGAACAAGACCAGATGCAACGTCTTAGAGGCCATTGTTGAAAGATGCTAAACTCGGGGGAGCGCTCTATCCAGTTTTTAACTGAGAAGGTTCCCTCTGGCTCAACACCCCAGTGTATGGGAGCAAGGCAAGGAACAGAGAGACTGTTAGAACATTTTCATGCATTGGCCCTGCCCTGGCCTCATCTCTTCATGTGTGAACTCAAAGCCCAGAGCTGAGCGAAGCTTCTATTGAGGCCATCCTGGTTAAAACAACTCTACTCCTATCATCAATGTTTCTGTAGGTCCAGATCCCATTTTCACTATTTTCTGAGTACATATGATCTGAAGTTGCCTTAATACTGGTGGTTTTCTTGTTTACTGCCTGACATAATTTTTCCTTCTCAAATATACTCTTACTCAGTTGTTTCCATATCCTCAGTAAACAGACAGCGAGGGACAGAGAGTTCCAGAAATCCAGAAGAATCATGTCTACTGATGGTTGAGCTTAGTCCCCCGTCTCAGATAATGGTTCACTTGACAGAACAGTTTTTCAGGCCTTTGAGCTTTCCTCTGCTCCCTGTTGACAAGTCCTGACTCCTTCTTGGACTTCTGTATTTCTGCCCACTTCCGGCTGGACCCTACCCAGACTCTTGGTCCACCTTGACCTCCTAGTCAACCTCCTTGAATCTAAAGGGCACCCAATCCTCAGCTCTGTCTAGCCCAACCCTGTCTGCCACAGGCCTACTTGTAGATGGTGAGAAAGAATATTGGTCAAGCAGGTGGCCTCAGTGTGATCAGCTCCTCAGGGACAGGCAGATGGGGATGGGGTGGGAAGATGCACGAGGGTCTCTCTCTCTCTGCTGTCTCTCTCTCTCTCTCTCTCTCTCATCTTTTCCTTTCTCCTTTCTGTATGCATCATTCTTTTTCCTTCTTTTATTTTTTTGTGTGTATGTTTTTTTGTGTCTACATTCATGTGTGTGAATGTGGGCACCTCCTCAGGGACAGGCAGATGGGGATGGGGTGGGAAGATGCACAAGGGTCTCTCTCTCTCTGCTGTCTCTCTCTCTCTCTCTCTCACCTTTTCCTTTCTCCTTTCTGTATGCATCATTCTTTTTCCTTCTTTTCTTTTTTTGTGTGTATGTTTTTTTGTGTCTACATTCATGTGTGTGAATGTGGGCACATATATCACTGAACATATGTGAAGATCAGAGGACAACCTAAGATGTTGGTCCTCACCTTCCACCTTGTCTGACTGGGTCTCTGTTGTTTTACTACTGTGTGCATCAGGCTAGCTGACCTGTTTGCTCCGGAGAATTCTCTTGTCTCTGCCTCCCATCTCCCCACAGGAGTGCTGGGATTACAGACGTTTGCACTATGCTTCTGGCTTTTATATGGGTTCTGAGGATTTGAACTCAGGTTCTCCTGCTCGCAAGACAAGCACTTTTATCCACTGGGAGTCCCTCCCTTTAAGATAAGATCTTCCTTACCCAGTAATAATCAGCTGCCAATAGTTCTTCAGCTAAGATTGGTGCCTGCTGCCCACTTCCACAGTTCTATGCTGGGTTTTTTCTACTTGAGTTTGCATGAGTTTTGTGCACACTGATACCATTGCTGTAGGTTCATATGAACAAGGTCTCAGGAGACTGTAAGACTCTTATTTCCATATGGTCATGCACCTCCTCCCCTGGCTCTTACAATCTTTCTGCCTGCTCTTCCACAACAGTCCCTGAGCCCTGGGTGGGTGTAGTTTAATCGATGAGTCCTGTTCAAGGACCTGCACACTGCAGACTTAATCTCTTCACTTTGGCCTTTTGTGTCCTTTTGTGTTCATGACCATCTGTTGCATGAGGGACATTCATTGATGAGAGTTGGGAGATGCATTAGTATTCTCTCTACCCCTTATTCCACTATGTTTTTTTCCACCAATCTTGTTGACCTATTGTCATTTTCTAGGTAGTTTAAGGTGACATATTCAGAATATTGTAATAATAATATAAAAACAATGTCCATCTGCCTGCATAATATATCCTTATGCACATTTAAAAATATTTTATGTATTTATTTTTATGTGTTGAGTGTTTGGTCTGCATGTATGTAAGTGTACCACATGTGTGCAATGCCACCAGGGATCAGATCCAGGGCTTCAGAGCCCCTGGAACTGGAGTTACAGACAGTTGTTAGCCACCACGTGGGTGTTGGGAATTGAACTCAGGTCCTCTGCAAGAGCAGCTAGTGCTCTTAATTGCCAAGCCATTTCTCCAGCCCCCAGAAAGGATAAAATTCTATAAAATTTGAGTTAAATATTAAAAAAAATATACTAAGTACAACTGGTGCCCACGGGCTGTGTCTCTGAATGACTCAGAATCACAAAACTTCCAGAGTATACTTTCAATCTTTGCTGGGTGCAAAGAAAGGAATCCAAAGACACTAAACGAAGCAGGTTATGGAGACCTTTGACCTCTGTGTCTCTGCTACCCTCAAGGGGCTGGACGTGGGTCAGGAGAGGCTGAAAGACCTCAAAGTAGCAAGGCAGAGAGTGGTGGGATCTTAGGTAGGACTTACTGGGGTGAAGACGTTCCTCATCTGTCTTCGTTGAAGATGACTCATTGTCTTCAATGTCTTTGCTGCCAGTGGCCTGGGTGACCACACTTGGAGGTTCGTCAGAGCCAGGGTTCACAGAGATCATGCTGCTCTGGGGGGAAGACCCCCCACTGGTCCGAGAGAGACTGAGAGTGGAGCCTCGCCGGCTTGGTTTGCGGCTGGCTGTGCGCGTGGCAGGGATTTTCAACTTCTTGGCCTGAAGGAAAGTGAGGTGGGGAAAAGGGGGATATCAAAAAGGAGGAGAAAAGGATGGAAGAAAAGAAGGAGGGAGGGAAGAAGGAAAGAGGAAACGAGATGGAGGGAGGAAGGAAGAAGGAAGGAGGTGGGAGGAAGGAGGGGAAAGGAGGAGAGGGGAAAGAGGAAGAAAAGAAGGAAACAGAAAAAAAAGAGCACATTTCTAATCCCTGTTGAGGTCAAGGAAAGAGATTCAAGGACACTGAAGTCCTCCTGGCTTCTTCCATATACAAGGCACCTCCTGGGTCTGGGTGACCTTTCATCACAAATCAAGGTCATCAGAAGGCATGTATTCTTTGAACAAGTGAGGCAGGGTCTGTTCTATTGAACGAATACATGTGTGCCTAGGTCGCCTTCTGGTGCAGCTGTCAAAGAACGGCTTTTTCTTTTTCTTTTGTGATAACTGGTGGTATTGGCTTTTAAATGGCAGAAGAGCATGGGTCTAGTGTCTTTAGCTACATCTTAGTTTAGACCCCAAAGTGGGTATATCAACTTTTTCCACACCAAGCATGAATACCTTCATTGCCTGGGTTTTCCAAAGGACACAAGAGGGAGAATATTCTGGGGCCTGATGTGGAGGATGTGGAGCAGGTGGACAAATGTGTATGGTGGGATGGGGCTCTTGAGGGAGGGGCAGCCAGGGTTGTGGTATGTGGGAAGATCTAATGATAAGTCTTTGGAGGGGTTAAGGGCCAGAAAGGGAAAGTCCTATGGATTTTGTGGCGTAATCAGAGAGATGGTTACAGGAGCTCACTCAGAATGTACCATCTGAGGTCATGTACTTTTAGGCTTACTATCCAGTGTCAGAAAGTTTTTTTCACTTGTCCAAGACCACATAGCCTACAAGTAGCTGACACAAGATTTGGATTTGGCAGATTTTTAGAGGTTAAACTCCAAAGCTAATGACTACATTGCTTAAAATTACTTTTAATACCTTCCCTGGTATCATTGAAAGTGCCCTTGACCCCAGGATGATGACTCTTTATGCCATCTTAAATACCACGGTGACAGCTGGGAAGTTCAGGCCCTTGACTGCTTGAAAGAAAGAGCTCAAAGCAGATGGCTGGGCTGTAATTTACACTCAGTTAATAGAAATGATATTACATTATTTATTTTTTGTGTGGGTGTATGTGGTGTTTGAATGTATGTGGTGTATGTGTGTGTTTGTCCCAGCATGGGAGGTGAGCAAGGTGGGAGGAGGACACTGGTGTCGTGCTCTGTCACTCTCCATCTTACTCCCTTTAGACACAGTCTCTCACTGAACCTGATCTAGGCTGCAGACTAGCAAGCCCCAATGATCCTCCTGTCTCTCCTCCCCCACGCTCCCTACAGTGCTGGGGTCACAGGCACACACCGCCATGCCTTGCTTTTAATGTAGGCAGTAGGGGTTTGAACTCAGGTCCCCATGCTTATGTATCAAGTGCTCTTACCCGCTAAGTCATCTCCCCAGTGATTTTACTTGAGAACTTTTAAAAGGAAAGTGCGTGACCTCTCAGACTGATGGCATTTTATATGAAACTGCTATTGTTCAATGATCTAGGAAGGAAGACAGGGGCAGAGACAGTTCTGAAGGCCACACAAACATTTAACCCGTGACACAAAGTGGAGAGAATTATATTCAGCAGATTTGCTTCTGGGAATCAACTATATGTGATCAGTTAACCTCGTCGGGCTGTCTAGGTGAATATAGGTGGAACTTCCCTGCACTGGAAGAGGGGAAGGATTTCTTGGTTGCACAGAGGAAGGAGAAAGGTCAGGGAAGAGAGAGAGGGATAAAGCTGTGGAGCTTAACTATGATCTCTTCCTTGGCTTTGCTCCCATCTCCAAGTCTTTGGGCAAAATTCTATACAAATGGAAGAAGACCCTCAGCATGTGACAGACGAGGGAGCTGGAGTTTGGACTGGGTTTACCAGGTCTCCAATAACTATGATGGAAGAAAAAGCCAACAGAAAGAGCTGGCTTGTTCTCTCTTTATATTAATTAGGGGCCAGGCTTCCTTTGTCCTGACTTTGCAGCTGGCCACCAGTTTGTCAGCCTGAAGAGAATTCCCTACACTCCCTGCCCTGTGTGGAGAGAAAATGTCAGAGCTCAGGGACAACACGTGCAGGGCTCACCTCTTCCTGCTTCATCAGTCACAGCATAAGTTTCTGATGCTGGAGACCAGCCATTTTCGAAGGCTGAACAGACTGTGTCATAGGGGGCAGCCTGAGGTCTTGCAGTAAGCCTTAGACTCAGAGCCAAGGACTTAGATTGCTCTGCCTCAATTTTCTCATTTATGAAACAAAAAGGATGGACCAGGATGATCACAGAAGGACTTTTATTCCCACAATCCTGCATGTGCTCCCCTGAGCTGGGATTTCATCTTGTGCTCCTGAAGTTGTCATTAATTAACATTCAATTAACCACTCCAGTCAGGGAAGCCAAAGTGAAGGCCTGACATAACTGATTAATTGAGAGTGTCCGAAAAACAAAACAAAACAAAACAAAACAAAAACGTGGCTGGAGACTGACAGGCAGCTTCCGCATCTTGCTTGTTCTTTGTTGAACTGACTTTCTCCGACTTGACTTAAATCCTCACATGCATCTCTTGTCTCTATATTTTCCTCAGGAGTGATGCTGTCCAGCTACTGTGCCCTGCCTCCAACATTTCTTTTCCCTTTGGTAACAGAGATTTCCCTGAATGGCTCCTTTTGCTTTCTAAGAAGGAGGGGTTGTAAAGACACATTTATTTACCAAGGAGTTTACAAGTTGGAAGACTTTTACAGAAAAGCCTGAGGGTTCAGTTTCTGTTCACAGTGATGGGCCCTGAGCGTCCACTCACATGTGGAAAAATGAGCTAGCGCCCCTTGTGGTCTCCTCTTGGGTTGTGTTTCATTTTGCCACAGACTTTACCACTCCCCTCTGTGTTCCACTCAGCCTGATTTTCCCATTAACACAATTTTCCTGGCCCTAGGAACGGTGCCTGGCAATGATGAGGTCTGCACATCCAGGTGGGGGAGTTGTTTAGGGCCCCTTGGCAGATTCTTGTTTTACAGAGGGAGAAACTGAGGTCAGGAGAAGAGAGAAGACTCGTCCAAGGTCACAGCGTGAACTGAGTCACAGTTGCTGAGCCAGTTTCCTGTGTCCTTGGTTGTGTGCCACCCCCAGTGTGGACCACCTTGCAGCCAATGTGTGACCCGCAAACTTGCTGGGAAATTGGATTCTGTGAGAATTCAACACTAGAGATTCACATTTCCCTCCTCCCCTCGTAGTGATGGATATTCCGGAAGGCCTTTTACCCCCCAGTCTCAAAGCTCCTGCTACTTCTTGCAGCTCTGGAGACAGAGGCACACAATGTCTCCATAGCAACTTTCTGTGAGAAATAAAGGCTTTTGCTTTTCAGGTCTAGGAACCTCCTGATGAGAGAGCAAGAAACCGGTGAAACTCGGGCAAGTACAATCTATCATGGAGAATGTGGATTCAAAGAACCCAGTGTTTAACACACAGACCCAAGGTGAACTCAACCCAGCTGTGTGGGCCCATGCAAGTCACTTAACCCCTCTGAGCTCCAACTTTCTTTTCTCCCACCAGAAGGTAAGAACAGTGTCCTGAGGGGATATTAAGAAGGGCAACATTGACTGATACTCCCAAAGAGCATAGACGCCGACCCATTTGTAAGTACACTGAGAAGTGGTCCTTAAAACCCCAGAACTTCAGCACAGCTTAGCATTTGTACATTTTCATTAAAAAGTAAAAAAAATTAATCTAAAATCAAATTAATTTGTGCGTGTATGTGTGCATGTGGAAGTCAGAGGGCAAGGTGCTGAAGTTGGTTTTCTCCTTCCACCATGTGGGTCCCGGGGCTCGAACTTGGGGCCTAAGTCTTGGCTGTAAAACCTTTACCCTCTTTGGCATCTTGTCAGCCCACAGTATTACAATTTCAAGTGATTTTGCATATTCTTTCCCTGAATTTCTCACAAACTTTGTGCAGGAGCAATGTATCCATTTTGTGGGTAAGGGACAGGTCAGTAAACACACCAGCTGTGTAGCTAGATGTGCATTCTTGACAATAGGTTTGTCTGTTTAATCTCTTGCCTTTATTATTATTTGGGTACTTGTTGAGTAGATGGACTGGGGGTTTGCAGTTAAGCATGATTTTAGATTGAAAATAACAGACCTCAAAAAACCTTTTAGTAAACATGCATGTTTAACTTGCAGAACATTTATGGAACCACTATTTATTTTTTGGGCAGGGAGAGAAAGAGGGAGAGAGCGAGCTATTGATTGAAAAGCTAGAGCGAGGTGAGGCTATTTCCTTCTAGTGACATTGTACTAAGCAGCTACTACCCCTCCGCCTCCCTTCTCCATCAAGTTGTGTCTGGCCAAATGTCATTTTTCCTATAATCTCCAGACAACCATTTTAATTAAAATTTGCAAAAAAAAAAAAAATCCAATGGCATGTGGTCGTTTTTTTGCTCTCAAAACCAACCTGACACACACACACACACATAAATAAATGTTGCCCATCAGAGATTAAACTGTTAAAGCACTCACAAGCTGGGGCCCATGAGCCCCAGGGCCGAGCCTCAGGTTACCTTTGGTGCCGTGACAAAGTGGTCCCACCTCTGTCCCATGGACTTGTCCTTGTTGATCTTTTTGATTGTGCTTTTGCTGCCACCTGGGTCCCTGAGTGAGACACGGTTTAATGAGTTTTCTGTTTGCAGAGCCTCAGTTTATTATAAGTCCCCCACCCTACCCCCAAAGAAATTGCAATAAACACAGGACGAATGGTGGCTGGTCTCCGGTATGATTCCCCCCCCCCAACTCCTGTACCGAAGTGGCTGAAACAGTTCTCCATTGCTTGGTCTTTTGAGGAAAAACAAGTGGTGGCTAGAGAGACGACCCTTTCCTGGCAGGAGTGAGGGAGGTACGGTATAACTGTATGCATTCTTGTATCTATTTGTGTTCTGGACTTGAGTGCTCTTATGGTCTCTGGGTGAGGCTGCCCTGATGCCTGGGGCGGATCGAAAAGCAGGCAAGCTTATGAATCTCTTTGTCTTTTCAGTTGCTCAAGGGCACCAATACCAGGAGCACTTCTGAGTAACAGAGAAAGAGGGAGGCGTGGGCTTGGTGAGGTTGGGGAGAGTGGGTGTGGCACAGTGGAAAACAGCTGTTTGAGGCTTATTGAGCAGAAGTTATCTGTGCTGCTTTGTGCCAGATGCTTCTTTGAGCTCTCATGGCATCATCTCCTTCACGGTTACCTTGGAACGTAATCATCAACCCGCTCTGCTGATGAGGAAACAATTTCACCCAGAGGCAGATTTATGTTGGAACAAATGTCAAACACTTCAGGCCCCTCCTACATGGGTCTCTCCTCCAGGGCCCTTCATTCCATCCACCCCCCCACCACTGATCCATTCACACTCCTATCCACCCACCCACACTCCCATCTATTTGCATACCCATTCATCCACATACACTCTCTCTCATCCATACACCCATCCATGCACCCACCAAACTACACACCTATCCATCTACTGAACCACACATCCATTCATCCATCCATCCTCCCATCCATCCATCCATCCATCCATCCACACAACCACATATCCATCCATCTTTCCATCCATCCATCCATCCATCCACCCACACATCCATCCTCCCAACCATACATTCATCCATCCATCCATCCATCCATCCATCCATCCACCCATCCACACATCCATCCATCTGCTGAACCACACACCCATCCATCCACCCAATCACACACTCATCCATCTATCCACCCAACCGAACACCCATCCATTCAGCACAACCATCTACCCAGTCACATACTCATCCATCCTCACACCCTTATACTCATCTACATACTTATCCATCTACACACCCACCCATCCAACCACACACCTTTCCATCCATCCATCCATCCCTTTTTATAACCCCCTTTTCTCCGCAGAAATGATTTTGATTTATGAAATCCCTTAACTCATTAGGCTGATTCTCAACCTGCACAGAGCAGGGGCCTTTGGAAATGACATGATCAGACCTACTTTGATGGAAGGGGGAAGTCACGGGGGTCTAAGCTTGTCAGAGTCTCCCTGTGTGCTGGCTGTGGGAGAAAGGACTTAAAAACAGGGACAAAAATCATCATGATAAACTGAATCAATGGCTGACTTCTCATGCTGTGGGGCTTGTGCTAGATAGCTTTAGTGTCAACTTGACACACCTGGGTTGAGGGAGCCTCAGTTGGGGAATTGCCTCTATTGGACTGGCCTGTGGCCATGTCTGAGGGGCATCTTCTTGATGAGTGATGTGGGAGGGCCCAGCCCACCATGGGTGGTGCCACCCCTGGGCCGGTGGGCCTATGTTGCATAAGAAAGCAGGCTGAGCAGGGGCCAGGGGAGCAAGCCAGTAAGCAGTGTTCCTCCATGGCCTGTGCTCCAGCAGGATCCTGCTTCCAGCTTCCTGCCCTGAGTTCCTACCTTGGGCTCCCTGATGAACTGCAACCTGGGAGATGTGAGACAAATAAACCCTTTCCTCCCCAAGTTGGTAGTGGTCACAGTGTTTTGTCAGAGCAATGAAGAAACAAACTAGGACAGGGCTCTAAGTAGCAGAACCACAGTCTGTCACCAATAGAAGCTTCTCTCTTCACCTTGAATCAGGACATGGCTAGGCATCTGGCAGCTCACAGCCAAGAAATAGACCCCAAGGTGGGTGTCAGGCTGGGAAGGCAGGGGTGAGAATGTGCCTCCAAGCTTTTTATAAGACTTTATGTTTGATTACACAATAAAAAGCCCTTTGAATAATTAATGGAGAAACTCATTTAAGTTGGTTCTGCTTGCCTCTCCCTTGAGTAATCAAATTAGGGAATACTTAAAATCCTACCCGAGGAGGAAGGAGAAGTACTTCAGTCCTATAAACAATATTTAAACTAGCGGCACTTTTGAAGTCTGATTTAAGGTTCACCAACGGGCAGCCTTGATGATCCCTGCTGCAGTGTTTCTTTCAAGACCACAGGGCTTTCTGTTTCCCCTTTTGCTTAGGCAGCCCCTGCTGAGCCGCCAGTCTTCTTCCCGAAGTTCAAAAGCAATCCCCTTCCCCTTTTAAAATTAAATCTGGTCCCAGCCAAGCTTTCAAAATCTTATATATTCAGGTCCAATTGGGAAGATGGAAGCCTTCCGCTAATGCTGACTTCCAAGACGACCTGAAATCTATTGCAACTTCAAGCGGCAGGTTAAATGAGCTAAAATCGCAGCGAGATCCCTGCAGGCCTTCAGAAACCCTTAGCTCTCACTCGGCAAAGCCACTGATAAAGGAAAGGCCTGGTTTAGACAGAATCAGTTTCTCTGATGTTTCATTTTCAGTAGCAAATAAACCAAAAAAGAAGATCAATAGTGGGGAAGAAAGAATCAAACCACCCGGAGCAGCGACCTCCACGGCACACCTTGTGGTGAAGGGCAAAAGGCAGTTGGCATTCCTCCCCCACAGCTGGGTGGAGGAAATCATTAGTGCTGTTCACCAAACAGTCCCACTCCTTTCCTGTTCCCTCAAGTCGGTTGTCTCTCTGTGACTTGCTTTGTTCAAAAATACATGAGCACAGAGTGACAGGGTGGCGCTTTGGGCAGTGGCTTTGCCAGCCAGTCCTGAAGTCAGCAGATTCCTTGTTCTGCCTGGCTGGTGGCAGGAGCTTGTGTTAGACAGGGCCTCTATCAGCCTGGCTCCCTGCATGGCTATAATGAGCAAAGTTCTGGTGTGGCTAAGCCAAAAATGGGCTTCAGTGGCAGATAGCTGCTGAAATTGTGGGTTGGTTCATTGTGATGGTTGTTTAATTAGTGCATTTGATGCTCCTGATTTACTGTCTTAAGATCTCAGACTAGTGTCTCAGAATATCACAACCAGCTATTCTGTTCAAGTCTAACTAACCTGCTCCCTGTGTGTGATTGTGCAAGTTAGGTAGCTTCTGTGAGTCTTGGAGTCCATCTGTGAAATGGGGTGGTATATTAGCTAGGCCAATAGGAAAAGGAAATGAGACTTAAATGAGTGAATCCAGCACTGCTAATAACATGAACAACTCATTTTCTTCAAGGGAGATCTTAGTGTGGTTTGAGAAGGTGTGGGGGTGTGGGGGTGTGGGGAGGTATAGTGTAGGGGAGG